TAATTCCGGTGTGTCTCAAGCAGTTTTTTGTTCCCTCTTTTCCTTTCCGAGAGTGCTCGCCGGTTATTTAGGGCAGTCGTTCTGTGGGTTCGCTTGAGGGGTGGAGGCCGGCGACCCTCCTTCCTTTCGACTTTCTCATAATGAATACTTATTCTGGAGAGCTGCTGGGGAAAAAAACAAGCAGGCATTAGTGGCCCCGGCCGTTGGATTGTGAGTAACGGTCCTGATTATTTACATGTCCCATTCTCGAAGCAGATAATTCAATTTTATGGGCCAATTTCACTCTCTTTAAGCCATCAGCCTAATTTTTCTTTTTGTATATTTATTTATATTTGCGTCATCCATCCGTCTCAATTACGGCTCGGTAATTTGATTTTCCGACGGCGCGCGTCCAATCAGCTGCCAAGTTTACTTTTCCACGGAATTAAGTGAATTCGCAGACGGGGTGTATAAACAGAAGGGGATTTTATGGCTGAGCCAGGAAGTTGCAGCGGGGGTGATTTTTATAGAGATAAACTTTATATATATGAAATCTTGACTCCTTATATATTAAACTTTTTATAACTCCATAAACCAAGAATAGACGACCTTAGTCGGCTCGAGACAGAGAGGAGCGTCTCTTCATAAAGAATAAATGAGACGACCTCTCGCAAGTTATTTTCCAATGATAATTAGAGCCTGTCAAAGTTTGCCTGGGGATAGGATCTCCAATTTCTGGTTTACGGCTCAATTTTTTAAGATCAATTAGTTTTTATTTCAGAATGAAGGTTTTTAATTACATACTAAATCATTAAATAGAGAACATTGTAAATAAAAGTCAGCTTTAATTGCCTTAATTCAATTTAATTTGATTCGTAAATAATTATATAAATTTTTAGTGGTTGGTATCAAACTAATTATATTTTATTTTTCCGTAGAAAAAAAGCTTAAATAATTTGAATCATTTTTAATTCTTTGTTTTTAATTTCTGATCTTAATCCAATCAAATCAAATATTTATAAAAAAAGTGCAGAGAAAAAAAATTGTAAAACCCTGCGGTATCTTTGAAAAAATCTCTCTCATAAGAAATTTTATACATTCATCCTTCTCAAATTAGGAAGGAAAATTTCCAGAAGATCAGCGGAGAAACGTTTTGTGATTGAAAGAGTTTGCAATCAATATTCGGCAAACCGAAGACGAGCTTTTCCCCCTGCTAAGGGAAAGTTTAATTAATTTCGCCGGCTTTTTCTCCATCAAGAAAAAGCAAACATTCCTCTCTGCTTGGTATCCTTTCATCTGCAGCAGGCTTAAGAACCGCACTATTTGCCGAAAAAGATTATTTTCTTTCACGCGCGGCAAGATGCTCTGCGTCCCCTTTTTGCACCCCACACGTGTGAGCCGAGTTTGGGAAAATATTTTGGCCTGCGCGCGTGGTTATATTTCGGGAAAAGCAACTTCGCACATCTTCTTGCTGTCCTCGGCAGCACAAAAGCTTCCTTCCGATCGATTTGCTCGCGAAGCCCGCGAGGCCAATGAATTCAAATCATATTCGCAAAACCACTTTCGGATCGCGGCACCCTTCCCTCCACTATCAGCGCGCGTTTTAGAGATACTACAACACGGTTTTCGCATCCCACATAATAGGATTATCCGAGCGTGAATAGAAATTTTGGCAAAGGTGCCCCATTCCTTCCGCCGCACGCTGATTTGCAAACGCGAGATATGTTTAGAGGCTAATTAGCAAAACACTCGCTGCTAAATTTTGGCAGCAGAGACACTTGCGTTGCAAAACACACTTTATCACTTTCATTTGCTTTTAGCGTTTAATTTATTCTGGTACTAAATTGCGTTTGCTGGAAGTTTTTGTCATTGATTTCTTCGCGATACGATTTGCAAGAAGAAATTGTGTCAATATTCTTGGTGACTATATTCAGGCAGCATTAAAAAGAGGTAGCTTGACTGCGAATTAAATTAATTGTTAAAAAAAAAATTATTATATTACGTGATAATTAAACTGCTAATTTAATCAGCAAATAATTGATATTTACAAAAATTTGGTTTTAAAAAAAAAATTGTATTTATTGCTAAAATTATGAAAAACCTATTTCAATAATCCAAATGAACTAAAAAATTTTGCATATCTCTTTGTTATTTACAATTAGAGAAATTAAATTTACCAACGTTTATTGTAACTTAAACAAAAAATACAATCAACACAATTGAGTGGCGCCTACTGCGCCACTTAAAAAGGGCACAGTCCGACAAGAATTTGTCTTGGCCTGACCCTAATCATCAACACCTATTTTTCTAAATAAAACTTAAAAAATAAGAAGTATAATTGTTAAATTTTTTTTAGGCTCAAAACTTCTTTAAATTTGAATTTAGATCTCCTCTTTAGTCCCATTTCAAAACCAAATCACAAATTTTCAGAATAATATTTCTATTTTTTAAATTATAAAGTTGATGAAACAGGAATTTTTATATTTAAAATAATTTAAAATAAAAGTTTGCAAAATAAGTATGAATTAATTTTTTTTATTCACAATGTCCAATTGAATTGCTCTTAAAAGATTTTCTACGGATTACACATGGAAATGTTTGTTTTTGTTTGTGTTTTTCACAAATATTTTCTCAATTTTTCATTTGCTTGATTAATGAAGAATAAGCAACAGTTGATAAAATAAATATTTGATGGCAAAATAGAAACAACCAACAACGTTCTCTTTCAGTTATTGCTCTCGCAAACTAAACAATGCAATCCCCACGGCCATCTTTCATATTATATTTTTATTATTATTTGCCACCAAAGTGTTTTTGCAGCTTGGCCCTCCTCGCGGCGACAACTTTTAATTGCATTTCCGACAGAAAGCGAGCTCCGAAATTTGATAAATCTCCTTTTCTGTGTCGCAATTAGTTGCTCTCTTGTTCTCGCTTGCGGGCAGCAGGGGCGTCAACTTTTGCTCCAAAACCAACACGCGAGAGCTGCAACAGATGCAGCCTGCAGCCAAATATCAACCCTTGCGCACCAGGACTTGGCAGACGTGTATGGGGAAAGGAGGAAAATGCCATTAGAGCTCTTGGAGATGTTTTTGTGCATCTTGCTGGTGGAAAGATAGATAAGGGCACGTTCGTTCGTTTGGCCCCGAGTTTAGCGGCAAAAACGAGCAACGCGAAAAGGACGGAATCGGAATAAATCACTTTTGTAAGTGACATTTTGTCAGGCGTTACCCTCTTGAATATTGATTGGTCATCGACGATTTTTTTCTTGTTAAAACTTTTATCAATTTTTTTTACAGTAAAAAAAGATTTAAATTAATTTTTCTGTTTGTGCTTTTTTTGCGGCGAATCTAATTTGCTTCGTTAGACCCTCTTTTTGCGGCACGCTTTGAACGGCCATGCAAATGACGCCGGGGAAAATTGCGAGCCGAAAACAACCCCAGCGAATGGTAGTTAGCAATGGAGAAAGGAAGGTCTAGCCGAGAGAGACTAAAACCAAGTTACATTTGTTTTAACAAGGTACTTGAGCGGCATTTGCGCTTCCATTGCCGGCCGGAAAATTCTTTTTTTATGCGGGGCACAAATGTTCACAAGCCGCTCCAACGGCTTTGATATTATTCTGTGTCTCCGGCGAGAGAAGATAATAATTGCCCTCTCTCGCTCTTTCACTCCACTTGCGTTCATTCCTCTCTTTCTTGTTTATAATAGCACAAAACAACTTGCAGCACCAGTAACTACTTGGTCAAAGTCTCTGGTTGGCTCTTCATCATCTCGGAACCAACCCCTTGAGCTCAGGCTGCGAGCCGGCCAGTAAGTCTAAAGCCATGACCGCACCACAGAACAAAGTGATTCCCTAATGGTTTGTCCGTGCCCACCCTTTCAACCAAGAAAACTCAACTTCCAGTTTTCTCGCATTATGAAATATTTAAGTAATTCTGGCCTATCGGTCAGTGACTCTTTTAACTTTTTACAAATATCAATATTTTTCAGGGTACTAGTTAGTTTATCTTTATTGTTTAATTGATTCCATTATTTATGTAGTTACTTAATCAGTGAATTTCTGTTTATCTCTCATTCTCTTGCGTGTATGGATTAACGCTTTATTGAAAACAAACATACTTAAATAACCCTTTGACATAAAGTAATAACTATTGAAATACCAATAAAAAATTTATAGTTATTGCTAATTATTTACTTATTAAAAAATTTGGTAAGCATTTAATTGCGCAAAAATTAAAAATCTAACTTGTATAAAATGAAATAGTTAATAATATGGACCTGTAATACAACACAGTATAAAAATATATGATAATTATAATTTAAATAAACATTATTTGCAACTATAATTTAGTAATTACACCAATATATATTTTATTCTAATAGTTTTAATAATTTAACTAAAATAATTATAACGATTATATTAAAACTTTGCTTCATTAAATTTTTCATTGTCCTGAGACCTTTCAATACGTGTCTCTTGTATAATTTTAAAATTAATGTGCACCGATATAAAATGAAACGAATGTCGTATCACAGGCGATCCGAACAAATTTATTCATTCCGCTCTTCTCCGGCAGACGTGCACGGTGCGTGTTTTTCGCTCAGGGAACTCCCGTCTTGTTTTCGAACTTGAGCAGGAAAGGTACCGCACATACAAATGCAATTCAATTCGTGAAATATTCTCTCCAAGGAGACGCGCAGCGGAAAGTTAGTCGCAAGAAGTTCCCTCGGTTCTCTTTGAATTTTGCATTAACTGCACACAGGCTTGTCATCTTGTTTTCGTAGCGTCTGCAGGGAAAACTGCGCATACAAATTACCTCGCCAAAATTTAAATGAAATTCAAAAGAGCGGGTTACAACCTCCGGGTCGAGTTCCCCCGAGAGAGGTAATTTGTAATTTTAATTAAGTGCTATTAATTTTAATTAAGTCTTCTGAAATTTTTCAGATTTAATTTATATAATTTCAAGTTTTTATTTCAATAAAATTAATATAAAATTTATTTTTATTTTTTAATTTTTTATTTATTGATAAATAAATGCAAACAGTCACATTACAAGGTACATCAAGATATAAATTATTTTGAAAGACTTTTATTTCATCATGTAATTATTGCGCTTTTTATTGTTACAGAGATAAATTGCAACTATGAAATGACTCATCAGTCAAGCTAATAAACTACAGTCTAAACTTTTTTACTTGCTGGAATCTTCAGAGTTGTCCTGGTTTGAATCCTTACTTTCACTCCGGCTGTCCTCGGACTTGTTTTCCTCAGTGTTTGCGTCCTCGGAGTTGTTGGCCTCTTCAGAACCTTGCTCGTTACTGGCCTCTCCGGATTCATTGCTTGCGTTTTCTTCCTCATTGCTGCTTTCACTCTCGCTACTCTCCTCGCTTGAGCTGCTCTGAGGAACGGTGGTCGCTTCTGGTGCCTGAGTGGTGGGTTCTTCAGGATCGGAAGTTGTCACTTCTGATGTTTCACTGCTGCTTTCACTCTCGTTGCTCTCCTCGTTTGAGTTGCCCTCGGTGGTCGCTTCAGAAGCCGCAGTGGTGCTTTCTTCAACTGGTCCTTCAGTAGGAGCATCAGAGGTCACCTCTTCGACGGGGGCTTCTGTTGGTTCAGGAGCAGCAACGGTGGTTGGCTGGTCATCGCCATTAGGACCACCGTTTCCATTTCCGTTCCCATTGTTTCCATTTCCGTTGCCACCGGCGTTTTCATTTTCTCCGTTCGATCCGCCATTACCGTTGCCGATGCCGTTGTTCCCGTTACCATTGCCGTTGCTACCATTGCCATTGCCATTTCCGTTGTCCTTGCGTAGATCAGGGGATGACCATCGGTTCCTTGAAGGGAGCCCCTCACTCAGACACACCAACGCCAGACACACAAGAGCTACCAAAACTCTGAAAATTCATAATTGATCTTTTTTTAAACATTCATAACAAAAATGAAATGAAAATGTTGATTGAAATCATTAATATTACATGATAATTCAGAAAATTATGTAAAATAAAACTAGAGATTGAAATGAAAAAAATTGAAAATTTTACTCACGCAGTCCTCATTTTTCCTTGAAATGTAATGTTTAGATGAAGTCGCTAGGCTGATAACTTTTCACTGTCGCGTGGAAACAAGATGCAGCGCATTTATACCTGTCGCCGTAAGTAATTTCCATGCACGTCAGAAGGCGACATCTTTATGATATGATTACTGATAACGATCAAGTAAAAGAGTTCCGAGATAGTGCCCGTCTTGATGATAAACAATGTCACGTCATTTTTGGCATAACAACAAGATTCGAGAATCGTCTCTTCCTTGTGCGTCACTCAAAAACGCGGCGCAAATAATCGAGTACTCGATCTGTTTGTCATCAATCAAAACGTGCTAATGTTTACTTTTGTTTTTCATCTCACGGGGAAAATGTGAACCGACTCTTGCACAATGCTGAACGTTTCAAGAGGCCGCACTTCCAAAAGATAATAAATGTCCGTGACGTTGACAGCAACAGTCATTATTAAATTATGAAGTATTCAAATTCCAATCAAAAGTTTTGCAACCTTGCATTACTAATTGTAATCTTCTGAAGCTACTTGTGATTAAACCCCACATTTAAAAAAATGTTGAAATAGTAAATTACAAATCACACCACATCGATGAGTGTATTTTGATTTTCTTCTATATGATTGGCGGAATTCCTCATAGTAAATGGCAACTCGCGAAATTTGCATTTAAGTGCCGAGGGATTCGGTTCGGAAGAAATTGCGGCCGGCGCGAACTTAAAAGATCACACAAAATGCAAATCATAAAAGGGTGTGGGCGCGCCGGCGAGAATGTTTGCTCCAAATAAAAGGGCACACGCGCACAGTTTGTTTTCGCATAAAAATTAACAGCGTCGTAAAATGTGCTGCAAAACGTTGCCCTTGCCGATGCTATTTTCTTCGTCAAGTGTTGCAATAATGCGGAGAGTGGCGCAATAATGGAACCCTGATCGCGAGGTTCAAATTAAAATAAGCACTGTTTTTTTTTGTCCGAAGAGTCACTATTAAATTGCGAACTGTTTATTTTGAGAGTGCGAAATATTGGAAATTCACTCTCTCTCCCGAAATAGACACTTTTATTTTTACGAGGCCTCTTATAGTCCGGCGCCTCTTGTGCGTGGGTATATAATTCACAGAAAATGGCCCACTTTCAGCCCGATAAAATGCGCGAATCGAATTTCCATACATCCTGCAAGGCATATTCGGGGGGATAAATTTAATCTTCTGCCGCAATGACGTCATCGGTTGCAAAAAATAAAAAACACAGCAGGCTCTCGCTTTTTCAGCGTCGTTCACCTGAGAAGAGGCATTTTTAATTATCTCTCCTGGAGATTGATCCAATTAAAGTAATTAAGTGCATAAAAGGGTTGCGGCGCGTGGGCGTTTCAAAGTTTTAATTGCGAGACGAGACACCCTCGGTATCATTTTTTTTCGGACTTGAATTTCACCGAGAAAAAAGAACGAGCACGCGTTTGCTTTTTGGAATGCGTCCACGCAACGCCGCGCTTGCTTTGATGTTGACTTTATTCCGGTCTTAATTACCGGCACTTGACAAAGTTCAATTTATATGCAAAGTCGTCTCTTACTTAGTCAGCGCCGCTGCCATCTTGGAAATGAGACCTTATCTGTGCAAGAGACACTGAAAATGAGTACAAAGCAGAGTGATATGACATGACATTTAATTAGTGTCCATAATAACATTGCGATTTTTTTTTTTTTTAATAAATAAATAGGAATAAAATATTAATGATGCCTTTTTAACTTTTGGCACGATTGAGTGCATTATAAAATAAAGAAAGCTTATACTAGGTGGAATAAAATAAATATTTTTGTAACAGTGTCAATAAAAAACGGCTTAAGAAAACTCATAAAATTTATTACAACAGTGACGTACGTCTATATTATTCTTCTGAAAAGATAATAGAAATAAAAACTTCTCCTTGATATTGGATAGCATTTATCTTATTGTTAGAATTCAAAATAAAATTTCCTAACCAAGAACATTCATATTATTTGAACAAAGAATAATTTGACGGCAAATAGTGCGTTTTCCGTGTAAACATAGCGAAAGGAACCTCAAATCTGGCAGAAGCGAGTGAAAAACAAAAGCGGGTTGAGAAAGAAAAAGCGCTGGTCCACCGCAAGATTTCACATATTTATTTTACTCTAGCGGTTGTTTCCAGTCTACATTTGTGAATCTCGGACTCGGCCCACAAAATGCAAATCGCTGCTCCGGCCGGCCTTATAAATTAATTACACCCTGAGCTTTCCCACAGCTTACTTAGACTCGTTGTCTGCGAGTTTAACATTTAACGCGCGCTCAAACGGAATAACAAACAACCATCCGCCCGCCGCCGGGGATCGTTCTTGGCAAAAACTTGCTAATTTAAAGCGGTTTACGCGCACACGAGCAAACCGTGAAAAATTTAATAGGACCGGCGCAAGACGAGATTTTATCCAAAAGCGTATTAAAGTGGTAAGTGGTTGCAGTCTTTGCGCTCCGGGGAGTTACATAAATCTGCTTCTCTTGCATGAGTGGAATATCCTCGCACACCAAAATGTCTTTTGCTATCTCAAACTTTTCGCCAACATTGTTAGAATATTGTCTAGAGACTTTTATTTGTTTCGCCTCAGATAAATTTAAAATAATTATTTTTAATTCTATCTGATATATTTGCTTATTTATAATTGAGGGAGAAATAAATTATGAATTATGATGGGAATCTATGCCGAATTCCAAGTTCAATATGAAAGATCATTTAAAAAAAATTAATTTGTCCAAATATTAATAAAATTTAATCCTTTTAGCGACATATTATGACGTCTATCAGGGGAAAATTTTGTTCATTTTCTCTCCAAAAAATCCTTCAACCTTTAACTAATGGGTGAGAATGAGCCCAATTATTCAATTAGATTTTAAAAAAAAATTCTAGTTGTCCCGATAATTAAATCTAGATTACTTAAAAATTGTGATTGAAACTATGCATTGTGCAAAATTTTAAGCAAATATTTATTATCTTTTTACAATTTTTTTTTAAATTCTTATTTTCAAAAGAGATGAATATTCAAATCAATTTTTCTACATTTTCTCCGTTTCTTTTAGGTGGGAGCTTTCGAGACACACACAAAAGTTTTGTTTTGTTTACCCCTTCCCTTATTCAGACGAATTCTCAAAATAAGATTACGCTTCGACGAAAATATCAATAAAGCAAATTTAATTTCGGTTCAGTAAACAACAAATTATAATCCCCCAGAATTGATTAATTGACAAATGTGTTTGCGTTAGATTAGAAACCGTAATCAGCGACAAACCACATAACGCGCTTTACAGTGGATTTGGCAGATCTAATTTCCTGACAGGGCTTGTCATCAACCTGGCCTGTTTATCGCCGAATTATCACAAGTGGAATTATGATCAATTTCGCACGCGCTCTATTGAAATTCTAGATAGCAGCTCTGATTGTGAAATTTTGCAATAGTCTCACTCAACAAAATTGCACGTGGTTATCAATTTTATATTTTAAAATTTCATATTAAATTATAGATAGAGTATTTATTGAACACAACTAGGTGTACAACGGGTGTCTAAAGCTAATTTGTATTCCTAAAATTAATTTTACAATTAAGCTTGTTTCAGTAATTATTACAAAGTACAAAAATTAGTTAATTCTGATTTTTGCAGCCTCTCTTAGGCTTAGTTTTCGTTCATTGCATTCAAGAATATGATATTGTGAACATTTCTTACCGCAGTGCTTGCATTCACAATCTATTGTCGCTTGAGAATGAAAATTTTTATTCTTACAAAATAAATAGTGGTACCCGTGACAGGCAAATCTCGTAAATACTTGGCGATCACTGAACATTGCACATTGCCAATTTTTATTCTTCAAATTTTCTGTCTCGTAGATATTAAATTATGAAAATCTATTTCCATATAAATTAGATTCAAGAGAGTTGTACGAAAATAATGTTGTTAACAAATATTTCCAGTAATTTCTTCATTTTTATATTACACTTCAGGATTATATTTTTATTTGAAACACTTTCAGGCCATTAAGTTTGCTGATTCGCATGAAATGGTGCTTTTCTCGCCCCGTCACGACAAAAACCAAGATCGCGCGCAAATGCTCGCAAAAAAGACAAGAAGAACATCTCCAAGCTCAAGTGCCGGCGTAAAATACCTCTTTCTCATTCTAATGGCACTTTTTTGAGGACATGCATCTTTCCGGTTGCTGTAGAGCGTTATGTGTCTAGACACCAGTTGATGTTTTCCCGACTGCGAATCCATAAACAAAAACCAGCCGAGAACTAATTTAGATCCGTCGGTGAGTAGTTTTTGAACGAAAACAACACGTGTGTTGAAAGTAAATGACTGACTGATAGTGAGGTTTCAATGTTAAGTATGTTATTTTCATTTTGGCTGTTGTTGTTTTTTGGTTAGTCGACCGGCCCCAGGGCATCTCTCATTTCGCCCAGCTCGCCCACTTGATGAAGGATTAAATTAAAAATGGGAACCGGACCCTGCGCTGGCTGGCGTGCGTGATTATTTCGATGAGGCAAGCGGCGTGTTGGTCGAAATTGCTCTCATTTGGCTTCGTCAGCTTCTGTCCGACTCGCACCAAGTGGAGACGGAAGATTTGTTTCAGTTGTGCAAAATTACTGGCCGCGCCAGAACTTTTTATTCAATTAGAGCAGCGCATAATTGTTTGGGCGTTGTTCCTAGCAATAATTTTAAAAAAAATTAATGCCTAAACATGAAAAATCGAAATTAATCGTTAATGATAATGCGTATTTTAAGGTTAGGTAATACATAATAGGTAATCCTGAAATGAGAAAAGATTTTTTTTCTTCTGAAATTTGAAATGAATATACCTCACATTATATAACAAAGAAGATTTCAAGTAATTCTGTAATTCAATTAAATAAATTTAAAAAATTCATTTTTAATGTTATATATTATTTCATTTATTATCAATTGCAGTTATTTATTTTTAAAGAAAGTTCTGATTTCCATATATGAATGTTGCAATTAATTATTATTTAATTAGAATAGCTAGCAAATAATATTTTACAAACTTAATTAAAGGGTACAACTTTCAATTTATTTATTCATTTCTTGATAGAGTAATAAAAATTAGATTTTTATAAATAATCAAATTCCAAAGCAATGCCAAGGTAGAAAGTATTGTAAAATAAAATACTATTTCACATTCACATAATTAATTGCGATTACTCCCATCAAACGCATGAAAATCAATTAAAATTACAGACTGGTAATAATTTAATTATTTGTTTTTTCTGTATTTATAAATTGTTTTAAATTGAATTCATACTTATTACATGTAAAAGAATTTATAAATATAAATATTATATTTAATATAAATGTTATGTATAAATATAATATAATGTAATATCATATAAACATTTAATATAATATTATATTTATATTAAATTTGAATCACTTTCACAGCAATAATTGGTGCCAAAAAAAAGAGATTAACTTCACACAAATTTATTGTAATTGCAGAATCCGAACCAGAACTTTCCTTTTTCATAATTTATCGGCAGATAAAAAATTATTCGTTATTCAATAGAGATTATTATTCATATTTCTGATTGGAAAAAAGATGAGGAAAAGTTTCTCCCCTCCTCAGTCATTTCTTCCACTTGAAGAGAAAAATTTTTGTCCACAGATAATGCAATTACCCTGCAAGTTGCGATCGACGCGAGCTAATGAAATTGCGATTCCAGTCGACAAAGTCGACCTCGGCTCCCCCGGAATTTAATAAATCCCGCGGTTACATCGCACTGAGATGAAATATCGCCACTCGTCGGTCCGGAAAGTTGGCGAGAGCGAATTTCGCGCCGATGAGAAACGACCGCAAAAGTGACTTTCGCTCGCCGCGAGCGAGCCAAAGATCGGCGGCTGCGGCAGAAAAACGAGAGAAATGTGTTTTAGACTGCACCGCCGAGTTTTCCTGCCTCGCGTGCTGACTACTCGCCAGGCGTACACACCTTTTTTTATTGGGAATATCGGCGGCAATTTGCTGCCAGCAAAGCCGCAAGTCCTTCTCTCTTATCACATCAAGAGCGTGCTCGAGGATGAGCGCGTGAATAAAATTCACTCCATAAAATAGCGGCGAGTGGCACCGGGCCAAAAATTTTTGAACGCCCGTCTGAATTGGAAATGAGGCTCCGCACCTCATTTTTGGCCCCAGGTGCGCAATCATAATGTAAATTAATTAGCACGTGCAGAGAGGAGAAAAAAAAATAGCAGCCCGAATAAGAAAGGATTGTCCAATTTCAACACCACACCACATTCTAAAGTATAATTTGCAAAATATACAAAAACTATTTTAACTCTGCATTTATTTGTTCTTTAATACTCGTAACTTTTTTAAACTCCGTTTTTGACTGTAACAAAATTGTTTGAAATTCTAGAAAAGGATTGATTGACAAAAAGGCAACATCATCACTGATCATCACCAAGGAAGACTAATAACGTTGGGTTTAAAGCTAAACACTTTTAATCTTAATCTTCATTGACATCAAATTATATTTTGAATTTCTTTAAAATAATTAAATCATTAAAGAATTTAAAAGATATTTGAAATATTATAGTTTTTTTAGAGTTTATGCATATTAACAATTTACCTTTATGGTTTTTTTTTTTAATTTTACAGCTCAATATGTATTAATTTTCATATAATCTATTCTATTTATAAAACTCGTCAGTCCCATGGAGTACAATGATATATAATTAATTAAATTCGGATCCAGGAAAATAAGCTTTAATAATTATAAATATAATAATTACATGAAAGTGATTGAATTAAATTAATTTTACAATAAATATAATGAATTCCATTAGTGATGGATTCCAATTTATATTTTCACATAAAACATAATATTCCAATTAACTTTGTTGAAAAATAGACGGATCTATTAATTTAATATTAAATAAATTTTATTTCCTATATAAAGGAAATTAATCAATTATGTAAAAATTATGCGTCTTGAGGTACTTAATTAATCCAACTTAGGGATGGATAATGACGGAAAATATGTAAGATGTGTTCCCAATCAAATATTACAAATAAGATATATTTTATAATTTTAGATTTAGAAATCACCTAACATAAACACAATTTTGCAACTAACCTTGTCATGACTAAAAGCTAAAAGAATAACGCATCGTTCTGATCTGATGATTGCCATGAAGTTTCTTTAAAATGGTTAATATCTGAAAATATGCTCTGTTTTATTTTAATCTCTAAAATCTAAAAATATGCCGCATAATTATAAGTATATAAATTTATGAAATATAAATAAAAACTAACTTTTTGTATTACATAAGAAAAAAAAGATTCTCCCCAAAGCATGTACCTGATAGGGAATCAATTTGCGTCAATAAGTGAGAAATTAAATAAACTTCAATTCAGTTTAAATTTCTCTTTTACGTGCAGTGCAATCGGTTTCGAACGATGTGAGAAGTTTGCACCGTTTAACGACGACAATAAAAATCACTCTTGCCTGTGGAAAATGAAGCGTCGGTGCGTCGATCCGAATAACGTCGACAGTTTGAATAAAGTAAATTTTACGGCCTTGCAGCGAATAAACGAATAAACCCGCGTGGCCGGCGTCAAATTTTACGTCCGCGTTATCCACTTGGATTCACCTTTGCGTTTGATTGGGCGTCACCGCAGCACCCCGAACTCGAGCGAGCATCTGTCCAAAAAGGGTCGTAATTTTTTATCGCCTCGATTAAAATGGCGTTTTACGACACCTGCACACTCTCTTTGTCAGTGACCTCTCACCTGAACTGCTCTTTCGAATGTGCACACAGCCTTAAATAAATTACGCTCATTTTCGGCGCCAGAACAAAGAAGGTGCGTCGGGTAATTGCGTTTGTGTCTGCCTCGGAAATATTTTATTTAATAAGCCGGCAATCAAAACATTCCTCGGTTATTATATATATTGTTGACAAGCGACCGTGCCTTTTTGGTTGACACGTAAATTCTTTCTTTTTTTTTTAACACGCTGGGGAAATAATTTTTGATGAAATTATGGCCCCTCTCAATTTTCTGGTGTGCATCAAATTTTATCGCGTCTTGAAATGCTCGCAAGAGGTGCTTGGAACTCTCTTGAAAGCTTTGAAAGGAAAAAGAAGAGCGACACTTTGAGTGACAAAGTAGAGTCTCATGGGAGTTTGAGGTGCACGCTTTGAAGAAGTAAAAAATCTAAGAGACAATTTATGAGTATTTACATTTGTGTTTCCTCTTGATATATTCTGGAAAGAATTTTTAAAAAAATTCTCATTTTTTAAGTGCTATCAAATAAAAAAAAAAAATCCTGCTAAAATAATTTTACATTTTAACTTTATAAGAAATTCATTGTTCTTGGAAATAAACAATCGTGTTGGAATTTAAATTTATCAAATTAACTTGTGTCCTGTGCGTCATTGTTGTCTGCTGTACTTATTTCTTACAGCCTATTTTGTATAAATAGTTATAATAGTTTAAATTTTCTCAACATTATCTTTATTATATTCTATTTATCATTTCTTTCATATCATAAATATGAAAAAAATTAATTGTATTGGTTTTGATTGCAACTGTTTCAGTTAAAAATCTCTTAATAAATTAAAGACTGTTTTAAATTTGATATTAAAATATGCGTCATGTATATTAATAAACAAATCTGCAGAATCGTTGTTGATTATCTAAATTTTGAGCAGTTTTTCTAGACTAGTCTTTAGTCTATAAAATCAATAAACCATTTTAACAGAGCGGATGGTCCAGGATGAACTAGCGAGGCGGATACAATCAAGGCTGTTCGGAGCTCATCTCGCTTTGGGCAGGCCATTTTTCTTTTCGGCCACCGTCTCTTAATGACATTTTTGCCCCTGGAGAACAATTTGGGCCCTGCCGTCGTCGCACGTCTCATTTACTATGGCAGGTGCGCCGCTTCCGAGAAGCTGCGCCAAAAAACAATCCGCCGCTTAATGAGTATCGAATCGGAATTTTTGCATCAGACGAAAATCATATTGTCCTCTAAAAATACCAGGAACATAAATGTCGACGGGAGACAAAAAGCAGCCGGCCCCCGTCTTTGATTTTTTTCCCTTCTTTCTCTGAACATACAAAACACATTTACACAAACTCTATTGTTTCGCGAGAGGCTGCTGGAGATTTACACGCGCAATTTGCCAACAACGGCGTCGCTCATTCTTATGAGCTAGACTTACTTTCTGCGCAGAAAGTTATTTATGCTGGGCATCAGAAAAGACGGACGGGCGTGTGTTTTATGCAAATGTCCCGTGCAGCTTGGAAGTTTAAATTAGTGCGAGGGCGCAGCCCCTTTTACCCGCTTTAAGGCCGTTGAAACGCATAAAGGTGCCGGACCAAGTTTTGCGGCTCACGACGATGCAAATTCGTCTGCGAGAGAAAGATATTAAGAAGCCCGGCTGCAACGGCCTGGCACGCAACTTTGAATTGCCTCTCTTGGCTCCTTCTGTTTCGGGAATGTAGAAAAGCCACCGCTGCGAATATGTACAGTCATATTGTCAGGATTTACTTGGTATTAAAAGCTACAAACTCGGGCCTTTCCCTTAGGACAATTATTCCGTCTATCGATTGGATTAACTCCGATTAACTGTTGATAGTAAAAGATGCTATTTTTTTATAACTTCGGAGGTCAAATATCCAATAATTTGTAAGCTCACCTTATTTGACAAGAATAATGCTTTGGACCATCTGAAAACAAAAGAACCGAAACATATTAGTGCATTATTACATTAATTGCATACATACTCATATTGAAATTTTTATTCTGAATAGATGTGGTTTGGACAGAAAATTGAGCTTATAAAGAAATAAAAGTTTAGGATTTTAGAGTCAAATTTTAAATTTTCACTATTATTAGCTATTATTTGCGGCTTTTTCAAGTTTATAGAAAGTTTTAAAGAAAGTAAATTTGCACAAACAATTTATTGAAAAGTCTAATTTACTTTAAATATTTAAGCATAATTTTTATTATTTTGCTATTATAATGAATTATTATTGATCTTAATCTTTTAATTTTCGTATTATTTTTATATTTAATTATTTAATTCTACGTGTTAAATACTATTTGATTCATATATATAAAATTTAGAAAAAACCTTCTGTCATATTTATAATTTTTAAATTTACTGCTGACGGGTGATATGAATAAGTTGCTTAATCTGCAAAAATGTGTTTAACTTAACCAAATTTGGATCTTGTACGTTAATCCTATATTGTATCATTCAATTCAATAAATTAAAAAATTAAAATAAAACATATATCAAAACAAAAATTCAAAAAATTGATATGATTTGGAATACAACCAATCTGAAAATTTAAATTTAACCCCAAGCTGGTGTGTCTTTAAAAAGAATTTCTCGTTCCACCTACATTTTTATCTGATTTGTGATTAGTGAAAAGCATCTCGCGATGCCATTATTTGTTTCAAGGTCTCGATATATTATAAAAATGTTGTTGAGCGCAAACGCTCTCTTGTTAAGCCCACCAGATGAGCAGCCTCTTAGCTCCGTTCGCAATTATTGTTGTGAGAAAATATATAACTACTTATATGGGAAACGAACGTACTTTGTTCCGACAAAGAAAAATTAGATCGCGTGCGTGTTTAATCCGTCGTTGATCTAGATAGAGATGCCGCGGCGATTGAAATTATGCCATTTCGCACACAGTAGTTTCCCTGTTCGCGTCACTGCAGCTTTCTGCGACGGATAATGTTACTTTGAATTCTCTTCTGCCTGAATGGTCAGAGAAGCTGACGACAATCAACGGTCGCTGTGAACAAATCTGCATGAGAAGCGAAAGAACTACTTGAGATCTTCCTGGTAAAAGATTAAATGCACTTTTTGCTCCAATCTGCAGTTTTGCATGAGAATAATTAAAATGATGTGTTCGAAGAAACAAAAGATGGAAAATGTGGAACTTAATAAATTGATTTTGTAGTACAAGTTCACGATCGAGGGTTGATTCATGGTGTTTGGAATTTAAATTCAAAACATAATAAATTGATTTTTAATCAAAACTCAAAATAATCGGATGTGCTTTGTACACATTTGTCTTGTTTAAAATTAGCTTTTAGCTGTTAAAAAAAGATTGAATTTTAGTATAAAATGCCAATGAGATTTATATTGTTTAATCATATTTTAATGATTCCTATATATAATCAACTCTGCAACATCAATTCTAATGGTATTATATTTCTTTAGATTATTATAAATGGCTACCAAAATGTACTATATTTCAACATTTTTATTACAACTGTAAAAAAATAAACATACATTTCAAGTGATCAAAGTTAAACAACTCCATAAAAAATTGAAATTTAGATAATTATTTAAAATAAGTAATAAATTTTGAATAAGAAATAGACATCAAAAAAATTTGGTTAAATAATATTTAAATTTATAGAATAAAATTCATAATTAAATTTAAAATAACATTCTTATTATTTACATAAATGTTTCTTTTCGCACTCGGCAAGTTGCAATGAATAATGAAGAAGCTGCCGTCGCTTTTCTCGCGAGTTGCAAATAGGACGTCGGCGGAGAGAAGATTAAAAATGTCACATTTTGCAGAATTTCCGTCACCCTGCTCTCTTTTGCTTGACCCGGCCGCTTTTAGCTTTTCGCCGTTTGTCGAGCATTCAAGGTGACGGCCCCATTCTCTCTTTCGACGCAGGGTGCCGTGGGGTGTGTGTGAGAGCGTAAATTCACCCCGAGCCTCACCTACCTGCACATTCCACCGTGTTCGCAGTAAAAAATGGGCATATTCGCGCCAGTCTTATATGGTTGGCAGTGAAAACTTCGCCTGGGGTGTTTCAAATATGTGTGCCGAGTTATTTTACGCGAGAAAGGTTTCACGACTTTCCAGAAATTTAGGCTAATAGTTTTTATGGACCTTTATGCTCTCCATGCACATAGTTCACATTTTCTATGCAGAGAAAATTGAAAATTCCATATTTCGTTTTAATACTTTTATTTTCTTCTAGAAATAGTGTTAATGAAAAAGGGCTGAAATAATAAAAAAGTCATTTCTACAAATTTTGAAATTAGAAACTTACTTAATTTAGTGGAATTGCCAAACACGTTCAGGTCAATGAACTTTAAATTTGTTTTATCGTGATATCTGAGAGATAATTTCCCCCATTGAAGTGGAAACTGGTTAAAAACACGAATGAAAAAAACTTGTATAATTGCAGATGAGCAGTTCCTTCAAGAGAGAATCTCCTTTTTGCTCTCGTCTCTCTTCACCGAGCACTTCTTCACCATCAGATAAAACAGAAAATCTCGGTCTCGTATCAATTTCCGCAAGCTCGGATGGATTGCAGAATCAACTTCCGGCTGACGAGAGTGCATTTGAATTCTGCGGCTCGGAAAGACGTAGTACTTGCTCGTGGGCGAATATAATCGCGGACGAGAGGTTATTGAAGAAATTATATTGGCAAAGTTGGTGTGTCACGTGCACGACCTGCCGAGATTGATTTGCTGATTATTAGGGCGCACCGGAATAATGCAGCTGGAAAATGCCCGTATCTTTTGTGCGCCAGGCGCTTTTTGATGTCCTTGTGCTCGCGGCAGGCAGTCGATTCGCAAAGTTTCAAGTGCTGAGCAAATCGAGATTCAATTGCGTGACAAATTCGGTCTTAATGCCCCGCTTTTGGCCAAATCCAGCTTGGTTTTTCGGCTCGTTAAGCTAAATTCAAGCAGCGGGAAAACTTATCAAATAAGGTATGTAAGTGAGTAAAAGTTAAACTTAAGTTCAAGAAAATTTCAATAAAATAAAATTTAATATATTATCCAATGCAAGCCGGCGCACCGATCGATTTGCTATGTTTCATGGATTTCTAGTTAGCAATCAGGTAAGTCGAAAGTACACATATTGTTAATTGGATGGATTTTTACGTGGAAAAGTTTAAAATATTTTATTTTATTTTAAAAATCAATATCTTGGCTCTATTTGACCTTTGGCGGTGACTTTTAAAATTTTATTTTATTTAATTTCTTCTAAATATTAGACGTTTTAGACGATATCAGAGGTTGAGATGCATACAATTGCTGAGTAAAAGTTCGTTTGTAATTCACTTTTTTTTTTTATAATATTCCATATATAGATTTTTTTAAATTTATGAATCAATATTAAACGTTTTTGAATGGTTAATAGGACAATTACAATTAATATCATATTTCTTTGTTGATATTCGACCTTTCCTAATTTTGAATACTTAAATTTAGAACGATTGTTAAACATCCACCAAGTATTAAATTATTTCCAGCCTAAAATGAAAAGTTAAACTCATAAATTAAAAAAAAAAAATCTGATTTTCTAAAACACGGTTTCTAATTAACGTTGGCACCAACGCAAGGAACACACATCATGTTTATTTTATTTCGGTAGCAGATGCGCTTTGAAATTAGGCATATCACTAAAAGCAATCGAAATATTTTGCCGCCTCTAATTTATCTCGCTCAAAAGAGCTTCGAACTGAAATATTGACATCCAAAAATACACCCACAAAATTTCTCCTGAAGTGAGCGTTAATTGGAAATTCACAAGGGCGATAAAAGACTCGTTCTTTAAATAAATAAATGCCAGGCAACGCATAGGAGAAAGTAAATTTGAGGACGTAAAGGGGCACGCGAAAGTTAATTAATTTGCACGCCGCCATTTTTAACGAGAGAGAGAAAAAGGTCTTTTGAGGCAGGTCGTGTTTGCGAACTAAATTAAAAAATTCATATCTCGGTATCTTTGAAGAGACCCTTAACTGAAAAGTTAAAAAAAAAAGATTTCATGAGGCTGGCTGAGGCTGGCCTGCATTAATTAAAAAAAATTCTCATTTTCTTTGTTAGCAAAATGTGTGAAATAAGAAGTACTATTGAATTTTAATAGCCAATTTATTTTGGGGAAAATATGCAAAAAAAAAACAACAACATAAATAAATGTTTTCTAAAATTGAATGCTGTTTTTCAAGGTCTACAGTTGCTTTCTAATGATACATTGTGCCAAAAAAATGATGAGATAAATATTTGTATTAAATTTTAAATTTAAATCAAATGTTTAAATCAAATTTATTAGTCCTTAATTTTGTTAGCAGGCAAAGAAATTATTTTCATCACTAAGTTTTTCATTTAAATTTCACACATATTCTTTCACCGTCCATCTTCTAGATTCAATAAGCAAGAAAAGTGACAGCTACATAATTATAAAAAAATCCGAGGCCTAAGGTCAATTTTCAGCGCGCTCCGTCTCTCTGCAAATAATTAAACTCGCTGTACGAACTCCCAATTTTGAATGTTCCTTAATTTTTTGCAGCAACTCTACGCCGATTTAATTACTCTGGCGGCAAGAAGCGCTGGTCTTTCACTTTGCAATTTCAAATTAATTGACCTGCACGTGTTTGTTTATTTTGGACGCCGCACGAGAAAATCAATTCCTCTCTCAACCAGACTGAGAGAAGATACGTAATTTTTTTTCTCGCATCCGCAGGCCAGTGTTTGCGTGGTTTTCCTCCAAAATTCACGTAATTACGATTTGCCCTGCAAAAAACTGGAGCACCGTTACAATGATTTTGAGAAGAGCTCTGGGCGTTGTTCGCTGCTCATGCCATCCAAACCTATAATTTGGTCCAAAATTTCTCGGTCTGCATGTTTTCAGATAAAGAGACGTTGATGTTTTGAATTTTGATCGGAGCTAACAAG